ATATATATATATATATATATATATATATATATATATATATATGTATATATACATAATATGATATAAATATCTTTAATGAAACGATATCTGTATCTCAATTAATAATTGGTGGATTCATCTTAAAAAAAAGTCCTTTTTTTTAATATCTTATGATCATGTTGTACAATGTGACAATGAAAAGCGTCATGGAATTTCATATAGATAGACTATATGAATAGCGAATATTAATTTCTATATTAAAATGAAATAACAAACATATAAATTATTTTCAATTGGAAACGTATCATTCTCTAAACGATTTGAATCATATATTATGAATTTTCCACTTAATCGTTAAATTTCCGTTAATTTTCCGTTAATTTTTGTTAAATCGAAGCATAAACGTATATAAAAATCAAACTACAATCGAACGGGTGACAATATCTCGTGTTCGGGACATTAGCGTATTAATATATATATATATATATATATATACATATATATATTTAATTTTATTATTGGAAATTGGATTTACACAGAATCAGAATTTTATTGAATGGGAGTAATGACAGGATGATGATGGAAATTTTTCAAAATTTATGGTTTTTCGAAATTTTATCTGATTCCTATCTGATTCCTCAAAATTTCACGAAAAGATGATCACGATTTGTGACGCGAATAAAAGTTGATTCGATTTACGAGAGAAAATTTCTATAAAACTCTTCTCTCTTCGATTGCGCAGAGATTTGGCAAGACGAGCGTTACATTCTTAAAAAACAAACTGGCATATAAATGCGTTAAATATACCGCAGGACAATTTTCCATCGAATAATTCCAATAGTTACAAAAAACTGTACGCGCCATAATTCTCGTGAATTCATAGATTATGCAATCATCGAACGCATCGTTTACCGGAAAAGTTTTGTTTTTGTGCGATTATTAATCACCTGATCTCGTCTTTCCTTCTGGCTAAAGTAGAAAAAACAAAACATTCTTAAACATTCTCTTTATTTATTCAATTTTTGAAAATTGAAAAACTTTCATTTTTAAAAATGAAAAAATTAAAAAACAAAAGAATTAAGAGGAATTAAATCGTTTTACAAATTCTATTTCAATTCGTATAATTCTATCGATTCCAAGCGAATTGTTAAAATTGACGATGAAAAAGCATATCGAAAGGTTCACTAAATGAACTCTTTTTTAATGCAGTTAAAATAATAAAATTATAAGAAAAGTTAAGAATAAGAAAACTTGGACAGATAAAATTTCCGATTTTCTATTTTACATATTTACTGTATTTTATATTATAACTAATATATGAAATAAATGTTATAATTTCTCAATTATTTTTTTTAATAAATTTTTACATATTTAAATGAATTATTAATAAGTAATTTATATTTATAACTATTTATTATAATAGAATTTATAGGAAGGTAAACTTTTCAAATTTGTTTATAAATCTTTCAATCGTAATTTTATTATATTCTGTTCGATATCTTGCATCAGTCTCAAGCGTTATTGATATTACATAGGTTAAAATCTAA